AGTGTTGGATATAATGTAATGTCTCAGAGTTGTAATGCCAAACTGACCTCGGGAATCATAGATAGTGTATGTGAACCATGATTGTTTGCTTCCTGGTATCAAAGAAAAGATGGTCATACCAATGCAAGTACCTTTTATGGGTACCAAAAACCAGTATTGTGTATATGTATTTTGTTTTATTCACATTTGACATACCTATAAGAAATTAAAATCCAATCTGTTAATGAGATTTTACAGTATGTGATGCAAGAAGTATATATTTAAAAAACATGTATTATTAACTTCCAGTCCTCTGGGAGAGGATTGTAAAAGAAATGGTTTTATTTTATATAAATAAATGTGCCTATATATATATATGGTGCAATAATATCATAATATGCAGTATAGCAGCATAAAACTAAGAGAGTAGCTAGAGAATCAATAGATAGAGTTTTCTTTGTCCTCCTCCCCTCACTCCAGTGGCTCATCTGTGGCTTATAATGCTTAAAACCAGGTTTCAGTACATGTGGTGGGCACAGCACAGATATTCCATGCTTTGTGCTTAATAACAAAATAAATCATTTTGTTCATGATATACAGATGTTGATTAATTTACCCAATTCATGCCGAAATTTATCGATATTTTTGATTTTGAGTTATCAGCTGTGTGCTATTGGGTTGTCATTATGCATGCTCTTGCGGGAGAGGATGTGGCTAAAGAACATACACAATCATTTAAGTATTCATGAACGCTATGCCATATATGAAGGTCGAACAATCAAGAATGTGCTTTAACAAATAAAGTTGACTGAAAATTAAGTTTTTTAAAGTAGTAAAATGAAGTAAAATTCAATTTCTGTTTCTTGAAAGTTTCCACAGCTTCCTTAGTGATGCTGATTTCATGATTTATCTGAATATACTGGATAATTTTGGAATAATATGATTATATTTGATACTTTTGTGTGTTTATCATGGAGGCTTATGGGCACCAATTAACCGTAAGAAGCCATTCCTTAAAGCACAAAACTTGCACGTCATGAGACATATCCTGGCATATTTATCTAGTACAAAGATCTGTGGTATTTGATTTGCAGGTCGAGTTGCCTTTCTTTTACATTTTAAACAATCTTTGGTTGCTTTATATCAGTCCAAAATGCCACATTCCTAAATATGAAACTTTGTACATGTTAAATAAATGCAATATGATTGGTTTGTAATGTAGTGTATGTTAACATTACCAAATTCCTTAAATATCCCTTGCATATAGGCAATGATATTTTTTCACTTTCTATCAAAGATGCTCATATTTTTGTCTAGAAGATTAGGGACATCAGTAGGCTACGCCTTCAGTTGTTTCTAGTTCAGCATGTTTTGAACTGTGTAAATAATTTCATAATTACATGTACTTGAAACAGTAAAGAATTGAGATTACTGTTAAGTATAAAATTTTGATAACAGATTATGTTAATAGCCATTAGGGTGAAAGCTCACCAGTGACACAGTTGTCTGAAGATAACTAATGATAGTTGAAGTGTATAACCATTTGTCTGGGCTGACTGGACATAGCTGCAGGTTGGAAGTTTTAAGCTGTAGAATGTCACTAAACATGTTCCATCTGTCAGATTTTGGGGCATTATTAGTGTGATAGTCAGTTTTACTATTTGGATAGAAGTAACTACATGATGGTAGATACTGCTAACTGGTTGGTCTCCTTCTGATTAACAGTTACTGTGGCTGAATGTTGTGGGTCTGTAACCTGGCCATTTAGGCCATGTGTTCTGTGATGTGCCATTCATGATAAAAATACAAATGCTATATGTTTGAAGCTCCATTTATAATTGTTAAGGGTGTAAAATTCAACTTTCAAATTTACATTCTCCACAGGAATATTATCTTTATTAGTTACATTTTCACACAAAGGTTTTAGAACTAATCTTGTTATTTTGGAATGCACTTAACAAAAAAAATTGACATAGATAATCATTGTGATAAAATTTATTACTCTGGTATTTCCAATCTTGTTCAAAATCTGTTATTAATATTTTTACCTCATATTTTGAATAAAATCTTTGTGAAGGGCTTAGCTTAGTGGTTAATGTGCTACGCTGTAGAGCAGAAAGTCCAAGGTTTAAACTACAACATATTAATGAGCACACCCCCACACTCTTAGCTGTGGGGTCATTGTATCAATTCCATTATTCAGAGTAGTCAGGTAGGTGGTGGTTGCTACTGACTGATTGCCTTTCTTTCTGCTGTTTAAAACACAAGTTATGTAAGATGCAATTTTAGTTGAAAAATACCAAATTAGAATTTAGTATCTGTTCTTTTCATTCACAAATCAGAGAGTTTTCATGTTAAATATTTACTGAATATATAACAGAAAAATAAGTTTATATACAGAATAAGTTCTGAAGCCTGAGCCTTTAACATATCTGTTTAGCCCATGAGTCACATAAGGTACTATTCAGGTTGAAAATACCTTATCTCATTAAAATTCAGCTATAATATCTTCCTAAACAACTGTCCAGCAGATCAAATCTAGTTCTTTTTGCATGATAGAGAGCTCATTAGCATTTGCTTATTTAAAGGTTGCTATCATGGATAGAAGTGTTTATGATACTGTACTGTTATCAGTATATGAAAACTGTATTATATCATTGATATACAGAGAAAATATATTCACTCGTACACTTTTTAAAACAAAACCGCATCAAGTAGATAATAGTTCAGTAATTATAAATGTTGTTAATGTAATGGTACATTAAATTGTATTCCTCTTTTCATTAAGTAGATAATATTTCAGTAATTATAAATGTTATAGAATAACACTATATTTTATTCCCTTTTTCATTAGTCAATAGCTTTTATAATTAAACATCTAAATATGTTAAGTATTTTTTATAATTAATGGAACACAGTGTAGTTAAATGAAATATAATTTTATACTCATAAGCTATGATAGTTAAATCAAATCACTCAATGAATATTATATATTTCTTAATGTTTTTTGTTATGTGTTTAAGTATAAAATTCATCAACCAGTTCTAAGTGAACAGGTCCACTGCCTAGATATGAACCAATTTATAGCACTTCCACATTTTCCCTATCTGCCTGTTTCTTTGATTGAAAAATTCAAAATGTGATAACTAATGAAGCTTTTGTTTGTTGCTGTAATAAAAAGTTTATATATATGTGTATTATTCATTAGCTTATTTTCATTTACATTTTCTGTGAAAGTTAGTGCTTCACTAGAAGCTATATATATATATATAACATTACTTTCAAAAGCTACATAACTAAGATAAAAAGCATGCTAAGCAGTACTGAGAGAACTATAGTTGTGACTCTATGTAATACAGATGTTTTATTATAGAATTACATCTATGAAAACAGACTCAAAAGCAAATGGCTTGAAAATCATGTAGTCAATAAGTCTAAATGTAATATTGTATTACATAAGTATTTATTTCTCTTTTAATTTAGAAAGGTGAACATTTCTTGTTCACTATAATTTTCAATATATTTCATGCTTACACATGTTGGACTGCATAAGTATTAATCTTGTGCTAGTTATGTATTGGCAAGGGCCATTTCCCCTCAGTATTTATGTATAATCTATAAATGGTGATGCTGGAGGATTCTTTCAGGCTTATTATCAGGATTTTTACAAAGAATAGTAAAACCTTATGAAAAAATATGATTTCTTTATTAGGGCTAAGGGTATCTTTGTTTGGTAGCCCCTCCCACTCTTTTCAGATTCACTTAAACTTGTATGTGAAGATAGGGGTATTGTATTAATATGGACCAGTTGAATTTGATTGTCTAATGCTTCTGCATTAGTATGTTAAACAGTTTAACCTTTTAAGTACACATACCAGTCATTTGCATGTTTATTTTATATTGCTTTTAACTAAAGAAATTGGAAACATAAAATCATAATAGGAAGTTTAATTTCATAAAGTTTCATACATTAATTATAGAATTTGCAATGTTAAATGATATTTTGCTGTTGACACATGGCTACTCAGTGTATTTTATAGAAACTACTTACCTAACCTAACCATTACTGTTGTCTGTTCAAGTTTTAGTTAAAAGTGTTTTTTTTTTGTGTGTGTGTGAATATTGTATGTGTTAGAGCTGCTACAATATAGGAATACCTCGCAACACTGAACCCATATCTGTATGTTCATTATTCTTTTCATGATATACATTTGCCTGTTTCTATTGTTTTCTGAATATTGTACATATTAGAGTTGCTAAATATAGGAATACCTCGCAAAACACTGAACCCCCTTCTGTATGCTCATTCTTTTCATGATATGAAGGAATAATAGTACAAGCATACATTCATTATGAATTAGAACACTACTTATATGAACTAATAAGTAAACATTATTCTGTTGGAGAGAAATGAGAAGCACAACAACATGTATTGCAAATTTACCACATCATGACATTTTTCTCTATGACTTTAAATATATTAATAAGATTGTACTCTCTGTTTTTCCAAAATTTATGATTAATTACTGTTGTTGTTTTTTTTTTCAATCGGGTAAGTAATAGATGGAATTACACTTGTTTCTTGTAACATTGTTGTAACAAATATGTACATAGTTCAGCAGTGACTCTCATTATAGTTTTAACTTTTTCTTTTGAAATGTACTTTGGAATTCCTTAAGAAATATTCTACAAAACACTCATCATGTTACTTTGATATTCAATATAGTATAGAGGACAAAGAATTTAGAGTTTTTAGTAATTGTTTTATTTTGTGTGTGATATTGTTTTTAATACTTTCTTCCTGGAGCAGAGAGTTAATAAGCATGCCATAATGTTAATTTTGGCATTTGAATAACAGTGTGTTATCTCATTTAGTTCACAACAGTATTGTTAATAATGTAGATTTTCTATGTAGGAAAGAAAAATTTGACATCTGTAATCTGTACAAGTTTATGTGTGATAATTATATGTCATCAGCTTAGAAAGAGCTCAATACATATAAGAATGCATTATATTTCCAGTGGAGTTGAAGTTGACTTGAACATCAACAATGCAGTTGGAATTCGCAACACTCAACTTCTAAACTGTTATTCAAGAGGTAAGTCAACACTATTATATGTAAAGCACAAGTTGATTTTTTGGGGGATGTAAAGCAATAATTTCCTGGTTTAATAATAGTAGAGAAAAGTATCTATTGTAAAATGTAAAAGAAAATACACTTAAGTATTTGCTTAGTAGATGTAAGGTTTTGTGAAAAGTTCTTGAGACATTTATGAATGGAGAAGGCATGGGGATCAGATCAAAATGCTGATGTCCTCTCTGTTCATTCCCTGAGGGAACATAAGAGTATGTGACAGGTTTGGTGATAATCTATCCAGTGGTTTGGCAGTGATAAGTGGAAATACACAAAAATGTTTGTCAAATAATGGGTTAGATTAAAAAGTTAACTTACTGTTAGCATTCTTGTCTGAATGCAAAGTTATCTGATTTAAAACTATACAGTCTCATGTTGTTATTTTTACTGTGTTTTTAACTTATTGTTAGTAAATGATAATTATTTTTATAGATTTAATTGGTATTTAGAATTAGTGTTTTTGTATTAATACAATATCAGAAGTATTTATGTACACTTCTTGTCACACCCCAGTGTGTGGTTAACTTAGATAAGAACATTTTATGTATATTTTTGTTCTTTATTTATTTAATACTAATTGTTCTCAATGTACAACTTAAAACGTTTTTAGCCTATAAAGTGTTAACACGGGATTTTTAACTCTTCTGTTTAAAATTTACTGTTTCACCAAAGTATTATGAAGTGTCACTAGTTCTTTTTTTGTATATGAACTCATTTTTAAGATGCACTATCTTATTGCAGAATTGTTTTATCATTAAAATGGATTGTAAAAACAGGAAATTTAATAATTGATGTCACCACAACTACATACCTGTATTCATTTTTTAACAGGGCAGTGTCATTAGTGATTTCAATTTTTTTTAATCCAATGACCATTAGAAAAACAAACAACATGAATGAATCATTTTTTTTAAAGTGAATTTGTATATCATATATACAAGCATGTGGTTTCGTAAGATACAAAAAAACACTACTTGATACATTTTTGCTAAAAGATTATGTTAAATTAATACTAATTTAAGGCATTTATTAATGGTAGATTGTTGTTTTTCTTAGTGGACTGGAGGGTTCGACCACTAGTACTTGTAATAAAGAGGTGGGCCAGAGAACATGGTATCAATAATGCAAAGGAAATGACACTCTCTAGTTACTCAGTTGTTTTAATGGTCATTCATTACTTGCAATGTAAGTTCTAAATATGTATTTTTCATTAAATGTTATTTTGTTAGGATACTGATGAAATTATTATAGTCTACTTACACTATGTTATTATTTTTACTTGTATGAATAAATTATTTATGATCCTTGTTTTCCTTTTTCGTTGAACATTAAAATGCATCTGTCTTCCGTTAGTTTAGTACTGAAGCCATCAGCTGTGTAATATGTCATTATGAAGCAAAAAGTTTTAAAAACTAGCAGGGTTGAGCTCATGAATTAGGTTAGACTATGAAGTACAGCATCCAATTTTGAAACTGCCATTGTATTTTTGACAGAAGTGCTTCTAAAATTACTAACAAATTTCTTCACACCAGATTACTTTGCTTTAGTTTACTGAAGAAGTATGATAGAGATTGTAGTTTCAGATAATTCATACTTCTGAAGACATTAAACAAAGTTACACATTATTGTATTTGAGGTAATATCTGTTAGTTAAAAATTATTTTTAATGTAAAACTCCTAAGTCAGTTTCTGTTATTGATTTGTTTAAAAAATTACATATATAAAGATCACGTTATGTTTACTTTTGATATTGATGCAGCTATGCCTTTTTGATAAAGGCATCATTGTGACAGTGTGAACTTACTTAACTTAAATAATGAGAACATTCCCCTGTACCTAAATGACAGACATCAGTATTTCATATTCAATGGAAAGATTCATTTGGATGTAGGTAGGTAAAGCTGCTACTTTCACAAACTGGAACGTATTTCTTTGGTGAAAATAATGATGACCTGTGTATTAAAAATAGTATTTACTGTTAGATGTAGAATTCAAATATAGTACTGGGTAATTAAAAATTGCTAATCATAGTATATTTAAATGGTAAAATATGAAAGCTGACAAATGGGTAAATTCAAGCTGCTAAATCAATAAGCTGTAATTATAGTATATGTGTGTGTAAGTAAGCTCTAAATAAATTATGAGCTGAGAAAATTTTCCATCTTGACAAATAGTGAAAATGATAAGCATGCTTAACTCTTTGAATTTAAAGTAACATTTTTTTTTTTTTAATTTAAAGTTTGACTGAGCTCTTAAGATGAATTTAGTATGGATATCAAGTGATCTTATCAGATGTTTAAAATTATTGAATGTATCATTGCTGTTACTTTTTGAAGCCCTTAGTTTCCACATAATTATTACTGTGGTGCAACTGTCACATTATGAAAACAAAAATGCTGTTTCTCTTTTACTTTAATATAAAGTTTATTAACTAATACAACAGACATGCTCATTTGTTTGACCAATTAACCTCTCTTTCGGGAAGGGGGGAGTATACACGCTGTTTGTTCACATGAATATTTTCTTAAGCCAACTAGCCCTTTCACAATGGGCTAGTGCAAATTACACTAAAGGATACGTGTTTAACAATAAACACAGTAATTCTAAGCTTTCTTTACATATTAGCCTCCAACAAAATAATATAACAAATGAGGAGCTAGGAGCAAAGTTTTGGTTATTTTATATAAAAATTATTAAACCTGTCAAGTATAAATCTTAAAACATGAATAATGCATAATTAAATGAAATATAAAAGTAAACCTAAATACAACTTAATTGTCTCTCTAACATATTTAGGTAAGAAACAACTGAAGTACTGTCATGAACAAAGCAGCCAACATACTCTTGGTGCCAATTTCAAAATAGTGACTCAGGGGTCACATGATAAGAAACCTGGAGTTTAAGTATTTCTTTAAAGGTTTCTTTTGAAATAAAGGAATTAAGTCTTAGATAAAATAAAACTTCAAATTATTGCATACATTATAATGTTAATTTCCTTGACATACATTGATAGTAAAGTTGTTTAATTAAATTTTGAATGTAACTCAGTGATTTGTGCACAAAGGAGTTTAAAGTGGTACCCATTGTGAAAGGACTAGTGTCATTAACATAAAGTATATTAAATAAGTCATTAAGGTACTTGTGAATTAAAAACAAAATAACTAATTTATGTAAATGAGTGTAGAAATCTGAATAAATTAACTTTTGTGACTTAGTCAAACATTTAGGTTTGTTAGATAATAAGACTGTACAGATCTACAGTGACATGAATGTTAAAGAAAACATAAGTACCTCGAAATACTATGATACAAGTATTTTTACTAAACATTTCTCTGTGAATATATGGAATCAAAGCATTCACTGCTCCAAGTGTAAAATGATTTTTATGTTAAGATTTAAAGTATATTTATTCATCTGAACATTGTCAAATATCATTTGCTTAGTCTCTAAAATCTCCTAAATAAATTTCAAATGCCTTTTTTTCAGTAAAACTTTGTATTTTTTCTGTTATTTTCTCTACCCTAACTCTATATACATTCAGTCAGTGTGACTGATCTCCTAACCACCATAACAAAAATGAGAAATAAATTTAAATTACCTTTTTGTCTTTCTAGGATGACTACAAGTTGTAACAAGAAAATAGAGGTGTTTATTCTAAATAGCTCAAAGCTTATACCAGTATACATCTGGTTCTACTTAAATGTTATTGTTTTATTGTTTTGAGTTGTGTCTAATTAATAATCCTTCTTAGTCTTACCTTATATAACTTAATAATTTTCTAGTTTCTACATTTTAGTTCTTTTACAATAATAAATTAAGAATAACATGAAAAACAAAAGATATAGTGCTTGCCTGGATCTTTTATTTTGCCATTGACTGCCAATGAAACATAAGCCTACTTTTTGATATTAATGGTACTTCTACACTAAATGATTTTTTACTTAGTTAAATAATGTGCCTAAGAACATAGGATAATAATATGCAATAAGGAAGCAATATCTAACTGTCACAAGTAATAAAACAAATTTGAAAAAAAAAAAGAATGATGTAGGGGTGGCAATGCCAAAAAGTATAGAAACAGGGTAGAGATGTATACACAAAACCATACAAAAATTCTCACATAAGTAGCCAAATCTTTATGAAAAACTTTTATCTTCAACTAAATGTTGAATTCCTATCATTTGCATGAATTCAGGTTTGCATAATGCTGTCAAGTCTTACAATGGCCAATTCCCATGAACTTGTAACATTGACTCAGTGACTACTTATGTAGTGATTTTTGTATGGATTTGTATATTCATCCATACCTTGTTTCTTTACATTTTGGAATTGCCATCCTCACATCATCCTTATTTTTTTTCAAAAAGTTTTATTATTTGTTCCCCTCTTTTTTTAAAGAATACCAATGAATATTTTATATATTACCAGTTTTAGTCTGGTATGATGAGTTGTCTTGATGGACATTAAGTGTTGAAGTTTGTGAAATGCTTGTACTGTTTCTGCGCTCCCCAAGTTAAAATACAACTATTTGGTGCATAAATCATTGCAATAACTTCATGCATTGATGAGCTAGCCCTTCTGACACCAGAATCAGAATAATTAGCAGAACATTTGGCTGTTATGCTACTTGCCAGTTCTCTACTTTAGCGATGTTTCTTGGCTAAACTGAAGGTCTTAATAGCTTTTGAAAACCTCAAAAATCTAAGTTAGGCATTTATAAGTCTATTAGATTGTTGTAAAAGAAATTTGAGACTATGATGGCCAAAACATAATATGCATCAGCCATTTGTTTCCAAGTCCCTCCCTACATACTAAGCACTACTGTGCTTATTGTTAATTTTTCTGGCTTTCTAGCTATGTGATAAGAGCCTTTAAAAATTAAACTTAGCTAGTCAATGGGATTTTTGTTAGAAAAAATTTGAAACTGAACAACTCATCACCAACCAAAGGTACACTAGAGAATCATACAAATGACCTATCAGTGACAATCATGCTTAACCATAGCAGCTACACACGAATCTTGAATTGAATGATCAGTAATTATCAAGTCTTGTAAATTTTGTTAATTTGTCTCCTGATTTCATTTTACCAACTATTTTCTGCAAGGAAAAAATTACCATATAATTAGTAGCTTCTTTTTAATAAAAGTTTTCCAATTATATGCACTTATTTTTATATTACTTTAAGACAACTTAAATCTTAAAATTAAAAAATAATTAACTTTTATAAGTAACCCATATGTTTAGATGAAACTTCTAAGCACATATATTTCAATGTACTTGTGTGTTTTTTTTAAACACTCGTATGTTACTGTGCATCCGTGCAGTGGTATTAGCCATTGAAGCAAAATGCTTGATTAAGTTACACAAGTTGTATAATAAAACAATATTTCATAGATGTACAGTTACATATGAGTGCTAAAGAGAAGTGAGTTAAAGCATGATGGTATAACTTATGTAATATAGTCATGCATTTATCTTCATTAGTTAATAATGCTACACAGATTTACAGTTACATATAAGAGTTAAGAAACATGAGTATATTGGGATTTTATGAGAGAACTTGTATGACTTGGCATTCTACTTCATTAGTTAATAACACTATATGGATGTACAGTGGTGTATGAATGTTAAACCAACATAAGTAAATTGGGATTTTATGATAGAACTTGTATGACTTGGCATTCTACTTCATTAGTTAATAACACTGTATGGATATACAGTGGTGTATGAATGTTAAAACAACATTAAGTACATTGGGATTTTATGATACAACTTGTATGACTAGGTATTCTACTTGATTAGTTAATTACACTATATGGATATACAGTGGTGTATGAATGTTAAAACAACATAAGTAAATTGGGATTTTATGATAGAACTTGTATGACTTGGCATTCTAATTCTTTAGCTAATAACACTACATGGATGTACAGTGGTGTATGAATGTTAAAACAACATAAGTAAATTGGGATTTTATGATAGAACTTGTATGACTTGGCATTCTAATTCTTTAGCT